ACTAAACATTCCGAGAAGCACTAACACCTCTTTTTTCTCAAACTATTTCATAAAATTCAAGAGAAGGGAAGGCTCCCAAACTCATTTTAAGAGGCCAGCTTTATCCTGATTCCAAAATCAGATAAAGATACTACAAAGAAAGAAAATTATAGGCCAATATTCCTGATGAACATAGATGCTAAAATCCTCAACAAAATACTAGCAAACTAAATACAGCAATGCATCAAAAAGATCATACACCATGATCAAGTGGGAGTTATTTCAGGAATGCAGGGATGGTACAACATTTGCAAATCAATAGATGTGACTCACCACATAAACAAAATGAAGGATAAAAACCACATGATTATATCAATAGATGCAGAAAAAGCTTTTGATAAAATCCAGCACCCATTTATGATCAAAACTCGCAGCAAAGTGGGAATAGAGGAAAGGACACCTAAACATAATCAAGGACATATATGACAAACACACTGCTAGCATCATATTCAATGGGCAAAAACTATAAGCATTCCCCTTAAGATTGGGAACAAGACAGGGATGTCCACTTTCACCTCTCTTATTTAACATAGTACTGGAAATCCTAGCCACAGCAATCAGACAAAAATAAGAAATAAAAGGCATCCAAATTGGAAAGGAAGAAGTAAAACTGTCTTTATTTGCAGATGACTTGATACTGTTCATAGAAAAGATTCCACCAGGAAACTACTAGAACTAATAAATGAATTCAGCAAAGTAGCAGGATACAAAATTAATATTCAGAAATCAGTTGCATTTTTATATGCCAATAAAGAACTAACAGAAAGGAAAATTAAGAAAACAATCCCATTCACAATTGCTTCATAAAGAATAAAATACCTAGCAATAAACCTAACCAAGGATGTAAAAGACCTGTACTTGGAAAATTGTAAGACACTCAAGAAAGAAACTGAAGAAGATACAAATAAGTGAAAGCACATACCATGTTCGTGGATAGGAAAAAGTAACATCATCAAAATGTCCACACTACCCAAAGAAATCTATAGATTCAACGCAACTCCTATCAAGATTCCAATGACATATTTCACAGAACTAGAACAAATATTTCAAACATTTATATGGAACCACAAAAGGCCCTCCTGAAGAAGAGCAAAGTTGGAGGAATCATGCTACCTATTATCAAACTATACTACAAGGCCATAATCATCAAAGCAGCCTGGTACTGGCATAAAAACAGACACATAGATCAATAGAACAGAATAGGGAGCCCAGAAATAAACCCACAGTTTCATAGTCAATTAGTATTCAACAGAGGAAGCAAGCACATACAATAGGCTAAAGATAGTTTATTCAACAAATGGTGTTGGGAAAATTGGACAGATACATGCAGAAAATGAAACTAGATCACCTTCTTACACCACACACAGGAATACATTCAAAATGGGTCAAAGACTTAAATGTTATACCTGAAACCAAGAAATCCTAGAACATAAGCAGCAAAATCTTGGATATTGCTCATAGAAAATTTTTATCTGATATCTCTCTCCAGGCAAGGGAAATGAAAGAAAAAAATAAACAAATGGGACTTCATCAAACTAAAAAGTTTTTGCACAGCAAAGGAAATTGTCAACAAAATAAAAAGACAACCCACAGAATGGGAGAACATATTCACTGATCCATCTGAGAAGGAATTAATAACCAAAATTTATAAAGTACATACAAAACTCAACACCAAAAAAACCAAACAATCCAATTAAAAATGGGCAAAGGACCTGAACAGACAGTTCTCCACAGAGGACATATAGATGAAAAGATGGTCAAAGTCACTAATCACCAGAGAAATGAAAATAAAAACCACAGCGAGATACCATCTCACATCTGTCAGAATGGCTATCAAAAATAAGTAAAAAAAACAAGGGCTGGAGAGGATGTGGAAAAAAGGAAACCCTTTTGCACTGTTGGCGGGAATGGAGACTGGTGTAGCCACTGTGCAAAGAAGTGTGGATAATCCTCAAAAATTTAAAAATGGATCTGCCTTTTGACCCAGCAATCCCACTTCTGGGAATATATCTGAAGGAATCCAAAACACTAATTTGAAAGAACATAATCATCCCTATGTTCACTGCAGCACTAATTATAACCACCAAGATATGGAAGCAGCCCAAGTGTCCATCACTAGAAAGGTGGATAAAACAGCTATGGGACATACACAATTAAATTCTACTTGGCCATAAGAAAGAAGAAACTTTTACCTTTTACAATAGTATGAATGGAGCTGGAGAACATTATGCTAATGAAATAAGCAAGTCAGAAGAAGGCAAATACCATATGATTTTACTCATATGTGGAACCTAATGAACAAACTGAACTAATGAGTAAAACTGAAACAGACTCACAGATGGAGAATAGATGACAGCTAGTGAGGGTGAAGGTTAGGGGGTAGAGGGATTGAGCAAAAAAGAAAAAGGACGCATGGACATGGACAACAGGGTGGTGATTGCAGGGGGAAGGAGAGTATAAGGGGACTAAATGGCAATGTAAAAAACATAATAAAGATTATATATTTAAAAAAAAGAAAAAGTATAAATGACCCATGGATGTGGAAAACAAGGTGGAGATTGACTGTGGAGGCAAAGGGTGGGTGGAGCAGAAAAGAGCAAGGGAGGGGGGAAATTGGGACAACTGTAACAGAACAATAAAAATTTTGTTTTAAATAAAAATACAAAATAACCCAAAATGCCAGGTGGTACCACCATTTTGACTTAATCCATAGTATACTTATATGTACTAGAGACTTTCCACTATTAACTATTTACATTTTATAAACTCAGGAAAATTTTGTAGTATGCAATTACATTGTAATATGAGTTTATTTACCCTAAAACTCCTATCAGAAAGTATTATCCTATGTAATTTATTTTTAAGTATATTTTACTGATTATGCTATTATAGTTGTCCCAATTTTTCCCCTATGCCCCCCTCTGCCTGGTACCCCGCTTTCGTCCAGCATTCCTCCCCCTCTTAGTTTATGTCTATGGATCATGCATATAAGTTCTTTAGCTTCTCCATTTCCTATACTATTCTTAACATCCCCTTGTCTATTCTACACCTACCAAATATGCGTTTTAATCCCTGCTCTTTTCCCCCCATTCTCTCCCTCCCCCCTCCCAGCTGATAACCCTTCAAATGGTCATACCTATGATTCTGTTCTTGTTCTTTACTTAGTTTTTTTTTTAATGATTTAGTTGTTGATAGTTGTGAATTTGTCGCCTTTTTAACATTCATAGTTTTCATCTTTTTCTTTTTCTTAAATAAGTCCCTTTAACATTTCATGTAATAGTGGCTTGGTAATGATGAACTCCTGTAGTTTTGCCTTGTCCGGGGAGCGCTTTATTTGCCTTTCCATTCTAAATGATAGCTTTGCTGGGTAGAGTAATCTTGGTTGTAGGTCCTTGCTTTTCATCACTTTGAATACTTCTTGCCAGTCCCTTCTTCCTTGCAAAGTTTCTTTTGAGAAAGCAACTGATAGTCTTATGGGAACTCCTTTATAGGTTACTCTCTACTTTTCTCTTGTTGCTTTTGAGATTCTCTCTTTATCTTTAACCTTTGGCACTTTAACTATGATGTGTCTTGATGTGATCCTATTTGAATCCAACTTGTCTGGGACTCTCTATGCTTCCTGGACTTCTATGTCTATTTCCTTCACCAGATTAGGGAAGTTTTCTCTCATTATTTTTTCAAGTTAAGTGTTCAATTTCTTGCTCTTCCTCTTCTCCTTATGGCATCCCTATGATCTGGATGTTGGCATGTTTGGAGATGTCCCAGAGTCTTCTTATACTATCCTTGTTGTTTTTTTTTTAAATTCTTATTTCTTCTTTCTGTTCTGGTTGACTGTTTAAATTCTTTCTTATGTTTCACATCGTTGATTTGAATCCCAGCCTCCTTCCCTTTCCTGTTGGTTCCCTGTAGATTTTTCTTTATTTCACTTAGTGTAACCTTCATCTCTTCCTTTATGTTGTTGCCGTACTCAGTGAGCTGAGCATCCTGATCACCAGTGTTGTGAACTCTGCAACTCATAGATTGGCTATCTCCATTTCATTTAGTTCTTTTTCCAGGGTTTTGCTCTGTTCTTTCCTTTGGGCCATATTTCTTTGTCTCCTCAATTTGGCAGCCTCCCTGTGTTTGCGTCTGTGTATTAGTAGAGCTTCTTTGATTACATGTCTTAGCAGTGTGGCCTACTGTAGACAAGGCACTTGTAAATTGTGTGAGGCAGAGCCTTAGGTAGTCTCCAGGGTGGGACAACCCACTTCACTGCTTTGTGGCTCTGTATGGGGGGAGGGCTCAGAGAGGGGACTGTGCCCCTAACTGGCTTCTGGAGGTTTGTCCAGCACTTGCCCTGTTTCCAGTCACTTCACCCACTTTCTGCAACTGGTGCTCTTCTAGCTATTGCCCTGGCTGAATCCCAGAGTGGGTTGTTTTTGTACGTTTTAAGACCGTACAAACCCTTTAAGTTGAGTTTCCCGAAAATCTGGCAGTTTCTTCTACCACCCCAATGCCCACTGGTTTTTACAGCCAGAAATTACGGGGATTTATCTTCCCAGCACTGGACCCAGGGCTGTGTGGTCTGGCCTGGGATTGCTCGCTCTCAAGGTATTCCTCCCGATTTTTATCCACCATATATGAACGTGGGACCACCTGGCCCATTCCTCTATCACTGTCACCTTTCCACACCACACTCCGTCTCCTCTCCTGTCACCATGTCTCCGCCCCTCCTGCCCATATGGATGAATGTGGCTTTTTTAAATCCTTTGTTGTCAGGCTTCCATAGTTCGATTTTCTGAGTTTCTGGGTGTTAATTGTTTTGAGATTTAGTTGTAATTCTTTTTGTGGTTTTGTGAGGAGGCAAAGCATGTCTATCTACGCCTCCATCTTGACCCGATAGCCTCTATGTAATTTCTAATACATAATACAGTTCAGATCCTTAAAATTAGCTGAAAGGTTAATATCACTGCTTAACTTACGGTGTGGCTAATAAAGCTCAAAGCATCATCAAAAAAGCCCCAAAGTTCTTCCAGGGGACAGATTTCTTCCTTTGGCACCCCTTCTGGCACCAACAGGTTAACCAATTTGTGCATGCAGTTGCTGAAATCAAAAAGAGAAAATTCATCCCATAAGGAAAGAAATCACTGGTTTCATGGCTAAGATAAGTAAAATCTGGAGCTCATCCCAGACTAAGAGCTTCAAAACATGCCTGTTCTTCACCCAATTTGATGTGGCCTCCAACTCAGAAGAAAGATTTCTGAAGATATAAAAGGGGCTGACAAATCCTTCCTTTTATTATGGTTGTCCTTCACATTTTTTTTTTTTAGTTTGCTACACTAAGGAGTTGTGGCTATTTACTATATTTTATGAGCTGATGGAATCTACAAGCCCTTTAAAGTATCTTGTTACATCTTCAAATAGGCAAGGGAATTGGGATTTAAATTAGAAATAATTCCGGGAGAACTATCTCTCAAATCTCAGAAAAGGAAGACTTTAATGATATTTTCCAGAGAAAAATCACATAACATCTAATTTTTCCCCCTGCCTAGGCATAGAAAACACAAAATCTCCAATAAATAACATGTCATATTATGTATAGCACGCCCTTAAAGAAAAAGCGCTTTAAAAAATCTGCAGAGATATAGCAAAATGTTAACATTTGCTAAACTTTGGTGGGGAATGCATTGTTGTTATTTTAACTTCTGTCTGCATTTGGCATTTTTAGTAATGAAATGAAGAAAGGTACCCAGTAATTTTAGTATATACATACTTACACAAAGAAGCAACTTTCTGTCTCTTTTTCTCCTTTGGGAAAACCAGACTCCTCGACTTAGTTAATTAATTCTTGGTCTATAGCACAACCCTGAATATGGAGCTGTTGTGAAGGCTTTGTAGTTTAGGAGTTATAGGAGTGCCCCAATCATTTTTTTAAATTGGGCCGGTGGAGTATGATCAATGATGTGTGAGGCACTGCCTACTGCTCATTTGGCTATCAAAAAGCCTGGATACAGTGCTGAATTACAATTACTAACCTGTATTTCAGAACATCTATCGATTCCTTCTTTTGGTAAAGCAACAAAGCTCTTTTCAAGGCATTTACAGCAATGGAAGGGTAGTGTGCAGGTGTTTCCATTGCTAGTGCTACAGGAAGGGAAGAAAAAAGGTAGTGAATACTATAATCCCATCCATCACAGTTTCCATCCCAGGCTACAACTTTCTTTCTCTAAAAGAGAAATAAATGAAACACACACACACACACACACACACACACACTTTATAAAATGATGAATCCATGGTGGGTTTCAGAAATAACTTCTACTTCCTTGGCAGAGTAATATAATAGGATCACCAGGTTGTACCTTTTATTCAGGAAACGTCAATAGAAAATCTATTGTTTCTCTGACCCTGCCCATAGTAATACAGGTGAAGCAATAACCTTAGGAACCAGAGTGAAGGAGGGGCACACTAAGACGGAAACAGAACGCAGATCAGTGAAAGGGCACTAATCAAAAATGGATGTATACTACAATCTATTGTTTTTTGTCTGATAATAAAAACAGAAAACACTTGACATAAGAGTGAGTGTCCAAGATAACAGATCTTAAAACTTATAGATGCATTCACCAGTTTCTAGAATTGGAATTCCTTTATACAATGAGCGGTGGTAACCATCTCATGTCCATAAAGTATACACCACCTGCCCCATGTCTCTAGGAATTCTGCCTTCAGAAGACAAGGAAAGGCAAATGTGACTCTTGTTCAGTCGGGGCTACCTAATACTTTTATTAAGCACACACAGGCTCCCAAGGAGAGTGAGAGATAAGAAGAGAAGACAATTAGGTCATTTCTTGTAGTATATCCCTACAGAGATTTTGGGCCCCCAAATACCACTTACAGCCCAACCAGAAATTTGGGAGTAGCAATTGTGTTCACAATATTACCAATATTTTTCTGTACACTTTAATAAACTGCTACGATTCCAACACCTTTGATTCATGAAGCAGTCGTTTATCATTTCTAGCTAGCTGAACAAAACTAAGTTTGGGCTCCCCCTATTGTGTAGCTACAGAACTGAATTTCATCCACACAATAAATGAGAGGACCTATTGTGAGCAATGCACTTAGTCAGGGTTTATAAAAAGTATTGTACAACAAATATAAGTAATTATTCTTTATGATCCTAAGGAGCTTATAATTTTTTGAGATATTAAAAATTTATTTATTTTTAGAGAGTAGAAGGGAGGGAGAAAGAGAGGGAGAGAATCATCGAGTGGTTGTATCTCACACCCTCCACTGCTGGGGACCTGGCCTGTAACCCAGGCCTGTGCCCTGACTGGGCATTGAACGAGTGACCCTTTGCTTTACAGGTCAGCACTCAATCCACTGAGCCCCACCAGCCAGGGCAGGAGCTTCTAATCTTATATAAAGCAAAAGATAAATGCACAAATGATTATAATACAAAGTGGTTCAAGAATGCCATTAGAGAAGGAAAAGCAGAGTGCTATGAGGAAATGTAGAGAGAACAGAGAAATAAAAAAAGGAGTGCAATTTAAAGAGGTGCTAGCCTTCCAAAATCATAAATATAGCTCTTACATGCAATTGTTTCTAGTGTTTTACTTTCCAAATGAGGCAGATCCCACATTGGTTCCAGGAAGCTGTCCAGTAATGGATCATTCTTTTTGGCTTTAACTTCAAACTCATATAGCAGAAGCAATGTCTCACATGGATCATTGGAGAAGTCCCCTACAAAAGAGGCAAAAATGCATTTCATTATCCTCTCATATTCTAATCTCCTCTGGGGAGATTTTTTTGTTGAGGAAAATTAATTTTACTTACAATTTGAAGGTTATTCCAATTTCTGTGGATGTATTTTTTACATTTTTAAACCTATAGTTTCATCAATACTTTAAACACCCTGCGTTACAATCATTAGCATTGCCCATGTTTCCCAAAATTATTGCCGTGATGTTCTTAAACAGCCTGAAAAAGTCCTGCTGTTGTCTAATTCAAATCCACTGTTTACCTGTCTCATTTTAATGACTGAAGTAATCAGAAGATACAAGCTCGTATAAATTAACTGTGGTTTTATTTTTAGCAAAGGAAAGTTTCCAAATTGTTCCATTTAGTCAGCCAACAATATTTCTTGGGTATCACCATGGACAGAGGTTTGTCTCAGATGGCATATACCATACTATGTAAGATGGTTTTCATTCACCCGGTTAGACTGAACTTTTAAGAAAAGTGTTGAGACATAGCGTACATACAATAAATTGAATGATGTGCACCGATCTTAAACAGCCTGATAAATTTTTACATATGTTTAAATCTATGTAACCACTACCCAGATCATGATATAGAATACCTCCAAAACTCACGCTTCTTTCTAGTCAATACTACCTTAGCAGAATTAACAACTATTTTGACATTTATCACTACTGATTGTTATTGCCTGTTCTTGAACTTCATTGCTAGTACATACATACATACATACATACATATATATATATAATTGCACTTTGCTTAATAAGTGAAAATCAATTAATGTAATACATGATATCAATACAATAAGAAGCAGAAACTAAATGATGATGTCAATAGTCAGGAAAGCATCTGACAAAATCCAACATCTTCTTCTGATAAAAACAATGAACAAATCAGGAACAGAAGGGAACTTACTCAACCTGATAAAGGGAATCTGAAAAACACACAGCTAACAACATACTTAATGGTGAAATACTGGATTCTTTCAAAGTCTTAAGAACGAGACAAGGTTGCCTACTTTCACCACTGCTATTCACCATTGTTATAGAATTTCTCAGCTAAGGAAATTAGGCAAGAAAGAAACAAAAGACATAAACACTGGAGAAGAAGTAGTGAAACCATCTCTGTTCATACACAATGTGATCTTGTAAATAGATCCTTAAGGAGTTCAGTAAAATAGATATCTATATCTATACCTGCCCTAATATATATCCCAAGTTGAATCTTTATTAAGGTATTTTCTTCCCAAAGTGTAAGCTGATAATGACTTAAATTGTGAGCTTTCCCGGGGACCTTGCATAGAGAGGGTTCTCAAAGACTGAAATGCTCCATTACTCAAGTGAATGACTAATGATACACTTTCTGGTGCCACATCAGCATTTCATTCAGTAAATATTTATTAATTCTTATTATGTGCCAGACAGAGTATTAGGAGGTAGGGATAGAGAATTAACAGGACAGGTAACTTTTCTGCCCGCGTAGAACTTAGATTCTAGTTGGGGAGACAAAAAATAAACAATATATAATATCAAGTAGAGATGTGTATTGTCAAAAAAAGATAGATTAAGAGGGTAGATAGTGATGAAAGTTGCTATTTTAGAAAGGGTGTGGTTAAGAAAGACCTCTATGAGGGGGGTGACACTAGAGCAGAGGATGTAGGGGAGCAAGCCATATGAATATCCATGAGAAGTGTGTCCTAGGCAAAGGGAATGGCAAATGCAAAGGCCCAGAGGCAAGAAAGTACTAGGTATTATTGAGATACAGTAGGGCTAGAGTACAGTAAGCTAAGAGGCAGAATGATGGAGGCAGAGACGTAACCAAGGGCCAGATAATCTATGGCCTTGTAGATCATGGTAAGGACTTTGGATTTTAAGTCCAAGTAAATGAGAAGTACAAGAGCACTGATACAATCTGACTTACTTTATAATACTCTGGCTGCTGTGTGGCTATTTTCTTCATTGAGGGGCAAGAGGGAAAGCAGAGAGGATAGTTGGGAAACCATTACAGTGGTCTAGCTGAGAGATGAGGTAGATTGGACTAAAGTGATAGTACTGGCCTGATTTATTGTTGGGAAGGGGCACAATGCAAATCACACTACTTTCAGCCTCACCATGTATAATGCTTGAATAACATAATTCAAAAACTAAAATGTTCTCTTATACTCCTGGCTTTTCTTTACTCAGAGCCCATGGCTTTTCCTACTCAGTCTTCAAAAGTAAGTTCAACTATTACATTTGGGAATGAACCCTTTCTTCCTTGGTGGTTCCACACACTCTATATTTCTATTAGTGAAGTCATTTCATTTTCTTTGGTATATGTATAGTAGATTATGTTTATGACCTCCTCGCTGCAAATGTCTTAGGGACACAGACAGTTAACACATTTCCTTATGTTTCCACAATACCTAGTAACCCCTGGGAATTTACTAAAGACTTGGTAGAATAAATATGGTAAACTGCTTTCCTTACATCATTAGTATAATGGCATGTCAAGGTTCATTTTTTGTAAAAGCCAATTCCCATAGCACTAAGACTTCAGTGACTGTATATACAGTTCTTAGTTAACTCTGATTTGAATTGACTTTTGAAAGGTTGGTGTTGTCCAGCTTTCCCCCAGGAGTTTATGATTCACCAACTTTGCACTGTCCCTTAATTTGTCTATTTACAGTTGGTAGCTTAATGATTTACTTACATTTCTCAATGCTGCACTCATAATTTTAGGCAATATTTTATTAGAGGTACCCAAGCCTAAGAAATATGACCCTCTAACAAGTTAGAAGTATTTTTTCTAAATGTATTTTGGTTTTAATTATTAAAGTACTGCATGTTCATTGAAAAATTCAAAAAATAGAAAAGTAAAATAAAAAGTAAAAGTCCTCAAAATCACTTATTCTTGTTCTAAGAGGTAGCAAATGTTCAGTTTGGTGTCTATCCTTTCAAGACTTTTTATATGATATATGCATCCATATGTATGTGTGTGTTTATATAGGTGTGTGTGTACTAGGTATTGGACATATAAAGGTAAGCAAAAGCAGTCATAGTATCTGTCCTCATGGAGCTTATAGTCTAGTATACATGCATACAAATATGCATATACATATTTTCAAAATAAAAATGGACCAAGAAAAGGCCAACAAAAGTACAACACTCTCAGTAAGGAGCACACCCCAAGGTACACATCATTTATCAACTACAATGACAGAGTTTACAGGCTCGTGGAAGGAACTTGTCTGGATTTGGCTTGGTTTTGAGCAACAAAGGAGAAAGGACTGAAGCATGAGCAAGTGAGCAATGAGGCAGAAGAGGGGAGAGAACCTCTGTGTTTCGAGAATCCCTATAGGTGCCTATATCCACTGGCTGGGAAAATGTAGAGATTACAAGAACTCACATATACGACCCTAGACCATAAGTAGTGGATAAACTTTTATTAGCCTGGATCATAGCCTTTGCCTCCTCTACACATGAATCTCCTGCAAATAGTTTGTTGGAGGAAAAAGTACCACAATTAAAGATAAGTTATTACTACTAAATAGTAAAAAACTATCAACCCAATTTAATAACGGGCTGAAGACTTAAATAGACATTTCTCCACAAAAGACATACAAATGGCCAACAGGTAGATGAAAAGGAGCTCAAAGTCACTAATTATCACATAAATGCAAATCAAAACCACAATGAGATATCATCTCACACCTGTCAGGATGGCTGTGAGGAAACAAACAGGCAGCAAGTGTTGGCGAGGAGGTAGAAAAGTCGGAATCGTTATACATCATTGGTGAGAATGCAAAATGGTGCAGCCACTACAGGAAACAGTATAGCAGTTCCTCAAAAAATTAAAAATAGAACTACCATATGATCCAGCAATCCCACCTCTGGTATTTATCCAAAATAATTGACATCAGAATCTCAATGAGATATTAGCACACCCACGTTCACTGCAGCACTATTCACAATAGCTGAGATACGGAAACAACCTACCATAATTTGTCGTGCATAATGTGCACCCACACTTTTGTGTGCACTAGACACAGGATTATTAAATCTATACCCGTGGTATGTACTCATTATAGCTATGTATAATGCACATCCTTATTTATCCCTAAAAATTTGGGCAAAAAAGTGTCCATTATACGTGGCAAAACATGGTAAGTGTCCATTGAGGGATGAATGGATAAGAAAAATGGGATATATACACATGATACAATACCATTCAGCCTTAAAAAAGAGAAAACTCTGTAATGTGTGACAACATGGATGAACCTTGAAGACATTATGCTAAGCAAAATTAGCCATACTGCATGATTCCACTTATATAAGGTATGTAAAATTCGATCTATCACAATCATAGAATCAAAGAGTGAAAATGGTGGTTGCCAGGAGCAGGAGGAAGGGTAAATGGAGCGTTGTTATAATCAATGGGTGTAACGTTAAAGTTAAACAAGATGAATAAATTCTAGAGATCTGTTGTGCAACACTGTACCTATAGTGAACAAAGGATATTACACTTAAAACTTTAAGAGGGTAGCTCTCACATGCTCTTACCTCAACAAAGTAAAATTTAAGAGACAAGTTATCAGAAAAAAAAAAGCGCTGTGTAAGATACTACGTGAAAATGGGAAGGGAGGAACAGGAAAAAAATAATGGAAGATGGAGAATTCTCTGAAGGGAAATGCTGCCATAAAGCAGATGAAAATTGTGACCAAACATGTCAGCATGAATCTTAAAATATTAAGTTATCTGTAAAATAAGAATATAAAGCAGGTATTCAAATACTCAGGGAAGAGCTGGTAGACAAAAGGAAATGAAATATGAGCCATTTTAGAGATAAAGAAAGAAATAGGAAGAAAAAATGAAAGCATCATAGAAATAAAGGTAAAACTAGAGGCGGCAAAAGAGAGGAGAGATACTACTTGATAAACAGTAAGGGGTTCAGAAAACAAGAGATAAGCAAAATGAAATAGAAATTGAAATTGGTTCTAACAT